ATAATTTATTGAGAGGATGAGTCCATAAAATTCTAGTGAGAAAATGGGAAATGTGAGACAAGAAAGGAAGAAAAACCAACAATGTGTACATTAATAATCAGATTAATGTGATGAGCAATTACAATTCAATAGCACTGGGAACCTTCTCATTACTCTGTGAGTAAAAACCCCAGAATTGTCCCACTGAAGATGGCAATGGTAAGTCGTTTACACACTGATTTTCATCCCTGATTGATTGAGGGTTGCCCCCATGCTGCCCAGCTCTCGAAATTCCCAGTGCTTCTGAGCTTCCAGGCAGGTGCACAGGGTGGAGGCAGCTCCCTTAGCCCCAGAGAAAGTCTCCAGGCAGCAGTGCAGAGGTTGGAAGTGGTCAGTGTGCTTATCAAGTGACCAACCATCAAGATGTAGCTGGTGGTCCAGGAAAATATGAGATGTACATCAGCAGCAGCTGCATGACAGATATATACAGTAAACAGCTGATACTTTTTGCCACCATGAATAATCAAAATTAGCCAACTTTCTTGAAGGAGAAATATGAGTTTTACTGTGTTTCACTATTTTTATGCTGTGGAAAGTCCCTAGTTTTGTTCCCCTGCTGCTCTAAGCCAAAGTATAAGACTATTTCAGTTACATTTACTATATTATCTGAGTATAATCTGATATATTTGTGTGTGACTATATCAGGATTAATGTTCCTTTTAATCACTACTGAGTCCATTATGGCTGCAAATCATTTCTTTGTAATTTTCTTTTTTTTAATTCTTCTCTGCACTTTGGTTACCAGTTAGAAGAAAATATAATATTGAACAAGGCATCATGCAATCTTTCTTCATGATGCACAATCAACTAAGGGTAAGAGATGGGATCTTATTCCAAAAAGAAGAAAATCTGCCAATCAAAGATGTAGATATGTATTAGGAAGGATTTAGATTTATGATCAGTCTCATTCTTTTGGAAAATGTAGTATAGTCTGTTCTTGGTGTAAAAACAATTATTGATATCAATTATTGATACAGGTTACCTTCAAGTTTAAGGGTTTGTTATAGTATTTTGCATGTTTAAATAATGTATCATTATGGAACGTTTAAAAATGTCCTGAAGGTTCCTAAGCCTCTCCTCATTTTTTTGAATTCTTGTTTCTTCATCCTTTTCTGTTTGGTCATTTTTTTCTTCCTTCTGGTCCAGTCCTTTCATTTAAGTCCCAGTTTCCTTTCCATTACTATTGGTTTCCTGTGCATTTCCATTCATTTCAATTCGTTTAGCCTTCATATGTTCTTCTAATTTGTAACTAAAATCAACCAGTTCTGTGAGCATCCTGATCACCAGTGTTTTGAACTGTGCATCTGAAAGTTTGGCTATTTCTTCATCGCTTAGATTTATCGGCTCTGGGGTTCTGAGTTGTTCTTGAGCCATCTGTTTGTGCCTGTTACATATGAGGAGCAGAGCCTTAGATGTTCACCAGGGTGGGGCCACCCAGGTCACTGGTTTATGACACTCTATGTGGGAGCAGGGTCAGAGAACAACAATAGCGGTCTCCTCTGCTGCTTCCCGCCGCTGGGGCCTGCGTGGTCTGTCTCACTGCTCACTCCTTCACTGGTTTATCTGCACGCAAATGTGTGACCCTGGTCAGCTCTCAGTGGGTCCACCCGCTGATACTCCACACCTGGAATCCGCCCGCAGCTGCCGGCATGCCTGGGTCATACCATGCACCTGGGTTGGTCTGGTGGCTTTTTCCTGCCCAACCCTGCTCTGTTGCTGACTCTGCCCCTCTTACTGGTTTGGCTGAAGGGTTCGTTGTGGTCAGACTTCCATATAGTTCAATATTCTGTGGTTTAGCTGCATTTTTGTTGCTAAAACTTTGTTGTTTTTAAACTTGGTTGTGAGAGAAGGCACAGCATTTCCACCTACCTCTTCATCCAAAGAGAGAAAAAAAATGTATCATTATGAAATCTGAAAGAACATTTTATTCCTGAAAGTACATTTACAGGAATTAATATTGCTCTATTTTTTGTATATGCTATCACTTACTTTATTTTGCTAGATTAGAAATTTACATTTAAAATAATTTATTTGCAGAACTTAATTGCAAATCGAAGCTTTCTAGGAATGAAAATTTTGTGTTTCTATATTTCAGGTTCATTATTTATTATTTCATTTCACAGCCTGTTAAAATGGCCAAACTTAATGACAATAACCCTCCTTAAATAGGCGGAATAGCGATTTTAATTTGATTTAGTTCACATGTATAAAAGTAAGTGCATTGCAAAGTCAAAAGGCTCCTCTTGAGAATTCACAGAGGACTATTGTTAGGTCTATACTTCACATGTTACTCAAGGACAAGTTTGCATTTTCTAGGATAAGGGAAAAGAAAACATGACTATAAAAAGATGTTTTATCAACTTTCATAGTTTGATTCAACACAGTTTCGTACAAAAAAAATTAGTAGAAGGCAGCAGAAATACCAATTACCATCTTCATGGCTCTGACAATTTACCTAACCTTGCTGAGACTCAATGTGATTATCAGTAAAATAAGAATAATAATGCTAACTTCATGAGTTTTATGGATTTTAAATAAACTAATGCATGTTAAATACTTAGCAACATATCTGGTACATGGAAAGTTTTAATAAATAATAATTGAGAAAATTAAACATTAAAAGAACCAAATAATTTAATCTAAAGAGAAGGAAAGGATGACATTTAATAACAATCTTCAAGTTTTTAAAATCCATCAAACAGCAACTATGTACTAAGTATCAGATTTTGAAATATTGTCAAACAATGATTATTGACTAAGTATAAGCCAACACAAATTTAAAAAGAAAACAATTTAAACATAAAAATAGCCATAAAGTATTGATAATGAGTAATTTTTCTCAGTAAGTTTTGAAAAGTAGGTTATGATTGAATCTAGAATTGATTTCCCATGATTGTTCTTCTACGATGCTGTGATGGCCAACTATACAACGCGGGAGTATTCATGCTGCACTTTCGCATACCTTACAGCTTAGTCTATACTCTTACTGATTTAAATTTTAGAGTCCAGAAGTAAGTTCTATGAATTCTTCATAGATAACCATACTCTTAGAGTGTGTCATATCTTTAGCCTCTTTTCTCTTAAGAGGAAATCAGATTCCCAATAAGCTGTCACATACTTTGCATATTTGAGATTAACTTATAGGGTGCTTAATATTGGCTATATGTAGCCCATATGAGTACAAAGAATCTCTGAGAGTCTTCTAAATAATATTATTGTGTCCCTTGCTATTAGACTAAAAGTACAGTCTGTGGGGTCAGACTGCCTGCATCAGAATCCTAATTCCAACAGCAATCTCATTTTCCCATCTGTAAAATGTGACTAACATTTACTGCCTTAATGGCAGTAATTTTGAGAATTAAGTGAATAACATATGTAAAATATGAAGAGTCCTGGCTTATGTTAAGCACTTGATCATTTAAAACATTATTAATACAATTTTTACTGTAATTATTTTATAACTATGCAAAGTTACTCTAGCTGGTTATAATATAAAGAAACTCTTTTTCTACTCTTCCTCAAACATCAAAATACTGAATTATAACACCATGTCTGAGTTTGTTCAACAAGAATTTATTTAGTATTCAGGCTGAGTGAGATACTACATAGAGAATAACAACTCTATTGGTGATTCATACACAACTAGTGTGTGTTTCTCATGTGTTTTCTGCCAGATTTTTTCTCATTCTGTATATGTAAATATATTTTTTGAATTTCTCTTCAAGAAATTATGCTAAGCATTGTGTAGGAATCAATGAGTTGAAATAGAAAGCATCCGTCTTCAGAGATACTTTTATATAGTGAGGAAGCCCGGCTGTTTCGGTGACTCCAGTGTTTTCGTTGGTACTAGTTCCAGGGCTTCTAGGAGGGAGCTGAGTTTAGGGTGGGTACTTCCCCACCAGAACCTTCTGTTTATATTATCCGAATCAACTTTTTAGTTTATGACATAAGGTAGTACTGCTTTATTTGTATTTTGCTACAGAATTTCTTTTTTTTACTTTAAATATATATATTTTTATTTTCTTGATTATGCCATTACATTTGTTCTATTTCCCCCCCTCCATTCTCCTCCACCCTGCACACCCCTCCCCCACCATTTCCCCCCTTTAGTTCATGAACACGTGTCTCAAGTTCTTTAGATTCTATATTTCCCCTACTATTCTTGCCCTCCCCCTATCTATTTTCTATCTACTGTCTATGCTACTTATTTTCTGTACCTTCTCCCCCCTTCTCCTCCTCCCACTCTATCTAAGAAAAAAAAAGATAAAAAAGATGAACAGTGAAAGGACAGCAAACTCACAGTTATCAACAACCACACCTAAAACAAAACCAAATTAGGAGGACAGCTAGATCAGGAGTGAACCATAGAAATGAAGATCACATGGAGGGTTAGCAACAGGGGATGGAATTTCTTTTTTTAATTTTTATTTTGTTGGTTTTCTGGGCATGGAAATTTTATAATCTGTCTTTATGTACCCATCTTGACTTGGAAAAAAGATTTTGAAATTCTCTTATGTAAGTTCTCTCATTTTTCTCAGAATAATCCAATTCACTGGATAGGGTTTTTTTCTTTACAAACCTTCACTTAGTTAAAAAAATAACAGCAGTGGCCCAGAGGAGTTGAATACCATAATCTAGGTAAAACTGTGGTCACTGGCAGAGCCATGCCTAGTAGCTCAGCGCACCTAATCCCAAAGAATGTTCTTACCATTCTACCCCCAGGTCTCTCACTTCTGCTGAGCATCTTAGATTCACATTTGTACGTGAAATGTGTTGCACCTGAGGGATTAGTTTGATCCCATACGATTATGATGGGGATAATATTAATTTTATTATTAGTCTTTTATATAAGCAAATTAATACATTCCCTAAGCAGCACATTAAATTTTTTGAAAAACAACAATCTAACCTTCTGTCAGCACTTTAAATATAAGAAAATAAATAAATATTTTTTTTTCCAGAAAATACAAAAGACATCATGATGATCTATGAAGAAGATGCTGAGGAATGGGCTCTGTACTTGAGGGAAGTTTTCTCACACGTTGTGAAAAGGGAAGGAATCCTGTTGCACCACCTGGAGAATTGCCCTCTTCAGGATTTGGAACTGCTGAATTTAAACTCTTATAAATGCAAACTTTTGATATTATCAAGTAGCCTGCTTGAAGACCTTACTCCAAAGAAATGTCAGTTTCTGGAAAAGGTACTTTATTCACCAGAAAGTGTGGTTATCCTGCTGTGTGGGGTAACAAGTTCAGATCAATTCTACAAATTATTAAACATCTCTGAGAGCAAATGGGAGATCTCAACTGAGCAGGGACCTGAAGATTACATCTCTGTAATTGAGAGCATCCTATTCACAGGTAGTGTTATAAATCTTCTTTATCTATTTGTTTTTATTTTTGTTTTTTCTTATAATTAAAAACACTGAAGTTTTTTGAAGAATAGACACCTGATGTTACGATAAAAACAGAAAAATACAAGCAAATTTATTTTATAATGTTACACTTTCCTGAAAATGCATAAATATTCTTAATTATTAGCTATATTTCAACAAAGACATCAGTTGTTCTAAAAATGGCTTATAAATACTTCTCAGAGCAGCTTATATGAGATCACACTTGGTCAAACAAAAATGTTATGCTATACTGCTATACAGGAGTTTGGTTCCGGAAGCTGGTTTCTCACTTAACTTGAGATATTACTATCTGCTGTAATTCTGTTACTACTCGGTAGCTGTCCAATGTCTCGGGGTCTGGTTAAAATGACAAAGCTTTTGTTGCATTGATAATTGTATGATGTCTATTATTGGTATGAATTACTGCTATTTTTACTAATTTTCAATAACAAATTTAGTTTTAATTATATATCCATTAAAGAGCAGCACATGAAGGCTCCTTCATTAATTAATTACAGTTCTGTGTAATAATCAAAAGTCCAGTGCTCACTAATGTGAAAGCTCCTCCCTCCCTCCCTGTTCTTTTCTGCTTGAGGCTTGATGTGGAAGGGGTACTGTGGTCGGTTCCTTCTCTGCTTTTCTCAGTCTGCATTTTGGTTCACAGGGTTCCAGCTGTAGTTTCTCTTTCTACAGAGAAGAGGTGGGTGTTGTATTTTACAGTGGTGATATCAGATAGTAAGCACTAGTTCTTTTTCTTGGGGTATATTTCTGGGTTGTTTGGTGATCCCCTCATTCCCTGAGCATGTCCTACCTGCAGTTCCTTGATGGAGACGAATGTTTCCTCCCCACTCACCATGTAGATGCATACTGTTGGTTTCTATGGCTCTCTCACATGTCTCTTTTGATCAAAGTCTCTGAGATATCCCCTGACTGGTTCTTTCTCTTACCTGGACCCTGCCCATCTGTAAAACTGTCATTGGAGGTAGGAAACAGAACAAAGGGAACTAGATATTGAGTTGAACAGATAGGGAAGAATAAACCTGTCTGCCCACTAGCCAGAAGCTACAGCTTCGAATTCCAGGGGATTACAGAGTTTCTCTGCCAACAGAGTTAACAATCCTCCCTCTCCAGCCTCCGGTACCTGGTTTGAGGTGGGACCAGCGGGGAGCTGGCACATGCCAATAGAAGTTCAAATGGCACAGGGAGAGGTGCTGGACCAGAGAGTCTTGTCAGTCTATTCTGGGGAAAGAATGGATGGGTTGGATGGTCAACCCACCAGAGGCATGCAAAAGTTTGGGAAGTTGATTGGCCATTCTGAGAAAGCTACTGGTCCATCACACACCCAAACTAATATAATGCTGGGGGCCAATTCTCTTTTACCAGGGTGACCCACACTCATCCTGTGCTTTTACTTGTCCCTTTTCCATGACCATGTGATCCTAGCTGCCACGTAGCTCATGGTCATGCAACTTCACATGCAGGCTCCAGGAGGAAGTCTGAAATGGATTATAGCTGGAAACACACTAAGCTAGCCAGATACTAGACTGGACCATACATTAATGTGGAACATAAACTGGGCTGTGGCCTTCATCCTGGCTCAATTAAATACAAGAACGGACTTTTCTCATGGTGAGATGGGTGGGATGGGACATTGGGGAACCAGGAGGGGATCCCCATTAATTGTACATCATCAATAAATCATACCACAGAGCCACATCCTCCTGTGCATGTCTCAGGAAAATATTTTCCTTTAATTTTTAAAAATACTTTGTTGTTTATGCTATTACAGTTGTTCCAATTTTCCCCCTTCCACCCAGCCAACCCCCCACTTTCATAGTCAATCCCCACGCCATTGTCCATGTCCATGGGTCTTCCATACATGTTCTTTGACTAATCCCTTCACCTTCTTTCAGTCAGTTTCCACCTCCTTCTCCCCTCTTACAGCTGCCAGTCTCTTCCATGATTTTTTGCCTCTGGTTCTATTTTGCTTGTTAGTTTATTTTGTTAATTAGATTCCTCTTATAAATGAGATCATATGGTATTTGTCTTTTACCAACTGGCTAATTCACTTAGCATAATAGTCTCCAGTTCCATCCATGCTATCAGAAAAAGTAGGAATTCCTATTCCATTTTGTAAATGTACCAGTTTTTTTATCCACTCATCTACTGATGGGCACTTAGGCTGTATGCAAATCTTGGCTATTGTAAATAACACTGCTATGAATATAAGGGTGCATAAATTCTTTTCAATTGGTGTTTTAGGATTCGTCTGGTATTTCCCAGCAGTGGAATTGCTGGGTCAAAAGACAGTTCCATTTTTAGATTTCTGAGGAAATTCCACACTGTTTTCCACAGTGGCTGCACCAGTCTGCAATCCCACCAACAGTGCACTAGGGTTCCCTTTTATCTACACCCTCACCAGCACTTGTTGCCTGTTTATTTATCATTGATGGCCATTCTGACCAGTGTGAGTGGTATCTCATGTGGTTTTAATTTGCATCTCTCCGATGGCTAGTGATGATGAGCATTGTTTTCATATGTCTCTGGGTCATCTGTATGTCCTCCTTTGAGAAGTGTGAGGTGAACAGAATGTAACAGAATAGAGTAATGTAACAGAATAGAGAGCCCAGAAGTAAACCCATGTCTTTTTCAAAAAATTATTTTATTGTTGTTCAATTACAGTTGTCTGCATGTAACCCTCCATCTGCATCTGCCCCAGCCATCCCCATCTCCCTCCCCTGCTTCTGCCCGCCTTGGTTTTGCCCGTGTGTCCTTTATAGTTGTTCCTGAAAACTCTTCCCCCAGTACCCCTTCCCACCTACCCTCTGGTTACTACCTGATTGTTCTTAATCTCAGTGTCTCTGGTTATATTTGATTAATGAACCATAAGGACATGGGTTTAAGAGAAATAAACCCATGTCTTTATGGTCAATTAATTTTTGATAAATGAGGCAAGAACATACAATGAAATAAAGACAGTCTCTTCAATAAATGGTACATGCAAAAAAATGAAATTAGACCACGATCTTACACCATACACCAGAACAAACTCAAAATGGATAAAAGGCTTCAATGTAAGTTGTGACACCAAAAAAACCCTAAAGGAGAACATAGGCAGTAAAATTTCAGGTATCTTGCACAGCAGTATTTTTGCCATTATATCCCTATATATTCATTATATCCCCAGGGCAAGGAAAATGAAGGAAAAACTAAACAAATGGGATTACATCAAATTAAAAAGCTTCTGCACAGCTAAAGAAACCATCACTGAAATAAAAAGGGAACCAACTGCATGGGAGAAAATATTTGCCAATGATACATCAAAGAAGGGTTTAATGTCCAAAATACACAAAGAGTTTATATGACTCAACACCAGGAAAGCAAACAATCCAATTTTTAAAAATGGAATAATTCTTTTCCTTTAGAAAATACTGTAAGATTCCCACTCCCACCAGCAACAAATGGCTTCCCACTCCCACCAGCAACAAATGGCTTCCCACTCCCACCAGCAACAAATGGCTTCCCACTCCCACCAGCAACAAATGGCATCCCACTGTAGCAAAACCATTCATTTGCCTCTAGCCCTGACACAATGCACATGCAAGCCATTGCCAGGGTAAGCACCACATCCTGCACTCAGGGCAGCCCTGCATGCACACCTCTTGTCTTTAATCATTTTCAAACATGGGTCTAGCATGGGTCTTGGTGTTCTATCCATCTGGAGAACACATATCAATCCCAAATAATTTGCTGGAAGCCCTAATCATTATGCATGGGGATTGTGGTACCCCTCAGTCTTAACTGTGAGGGACAGTGGGACTCACAGCACATCAACAACTGTCCTTAAAAATTCTGACTTCCAGCATTCTAACATCTTCAACTTCAATACTTTGAAAGCCTTGTTTCAGTTATGTATTGTTGTCTAACAAGTTACCCTAAAATTTAGCAACTTGAATAAACAAACTTTGGCTCTATCACAGTCTCTATGGCTGAGGAATCTAGGAGCAGCTTCTGGGGGAGGTTCTGGATCAGAGCATCTCGTGGGGTTGCAGTCAAGCCGTGAAGAGCTACAGTGGTTTGCAAGCCTCCACTGTTCACTAGGGGAGGATTTGCTTCCAAAAAGATCTTACAGTGTTGGCAAGTTTGTTACTGATTTTTGAAACATCTCTTTGTTGGATGTCACCTCTCAGAGATTCCGGTGGAAGGGCCCTTGGCAGCAGTGTTTCTGAAATCTTGCATGTTCAAAAGTGTTTGTATGTTGCCTTGTACTTGAAGTACAGTTTCACTGAGGACAATGTTGCTCTTCTTTCTTCTAGAATTGTAGTATTCAGGGAGGTCCTATTTGCCTGGCTAATTAAAGAATCCTTCATTTGTATTTTAGTTCTAGTGACTTCACTAGAATGTTATCTTAGTGCTGACTATTCTGGACTATTTTGCCCAGAGACATGATTACTTTTTTATAAGTCCCCTCCCACCTCCTCAAGATGTAGATTCAAGTCTTCTTTCATTTCAGGAGCAAATTCTGGAGTTATAGCTGTCAATATTTGGCCTCTCTTACAATGATATTGTTATTCAGGATTCCTTTTATGTATAGGTTGGATTTATTTTGTTTGTGATACATTCAACAATTCCTCTCTAATTCATTTTGATTCCCTATTGATATCCATGATTTAGTTTGTAATTATCACTTCACTTTTTGCTATCTTCTTATTCTTTCAGTGTTCTTCCCTCCCCCACTCATTTCATGATACTTTCACTCTTTTCCATTATACCATTTAGTTGAGCATTGAAAGTTTAGAGTTCATCTCTCATTCTTGTCTTGCTAACCTCTCCTTAACCCCTTAGTGCATTCTGCACTATGTAATTGCTTCAAAGCAGCAGTGGTTGCTGTTTAGTATATTTTTAAAATTCATGGTAAAATGTTTGGTCATATTTTTTCACTTCTCTATGGCAACATGCTTTCAG